TTTATTGATGACGGGATGATGATGGTAAGAACCCACTTACTCAGGCAATGTCGCCAATCCTTTTCAAAAAGGCATGTTCTTCTCGCATGGATGTTACCATAGTTACAAAAATGGGAACATCAGATTTTTGATAGTCAGAACAGTTGCGTAGCAGTCTACAAAAGAATCACGTTTTTAGCCTGTGACCTTAACCAAGGAATTTATTTTATCCTTATAGTGCGTCAATAAACTGCAAGAATTTCGATTCACCTGAGGATTATGAAGGGGCAGAGGGACAATTCATGTTGAGATTGCTCAGTTTCCAATCAGTAATAATCCAAATAAGCTCTAGGAGGCAACATCTACAAAACTGTTTTATTGATCAGACCATCGATTAGGTAGAGAAATAGGTGATGCCTATTTGTGTAGATGGAACAGAAAAGTAGCATGGTGGGAAACAAGATAGTATTTGGAAGAGGCTCCAGTAGGCTCCTTTTTTCTGATTTTATTGGAATTTAAAAGGGGGGGGGGAAAGCACAAGGGAGGTTTGCAAAATTCTGCTCCTGCATCCTATCTTACTAAGATATACCGTAAGAGTATAAGACGCACCAGAGTATAAGATGCACCTATTTTTTTCAGTGAGGAAAAGAAGAAAAAGAAATCTGCCTCTGCGCAATTTTGCCTCATTGCAGCAAACAGAAAACAGCCTGCTTTACTTTCATTTCCATTTTCAGTATAGCTTGATTAGCACAAGGAAAAAAAAAATCTGCTCCAGCAATTTACCTCTTTGCAGCAAGCAGCAGAGGCCCGGGCAAAACAGCTGACAGCAAATCAGCTGAGAGTCGGGAGGCCGATAATCAACTTGTGCTAATTAGGCTGTGCTGAAGCTGAAAGGAGCTGTTTTTTCTTGCTGTTTGCTTGCAAGGAGGTAACTGCTGCGAGGCAGAGGCCAAAGGGTGGGGGCCAGTGGGTGGGCGGGGCTACATTCGGTGTATAAGACACACCTAAATTTTCACCCCCTTTTAGGGCAGAAAAAAGGTGCATCTTATACTCCAAAAAATACGGTAATTCAATTCTTCCACTGTTTCTTGATCTGGTCTACCCTGAAGGGCTGACATCATTTTGGCAAGCTGCATTGTGCTGATTCTCTAGAACAGGGTTGTCAAGCTCACGTTGTCATGGCAACATCACATGACATATTGGGATCTTTTCTCCTTTGCTAAACCGGGCGTGGGTGTGTCCAGTGTGTAATGCATCCGGCCCGCGAGCTGAGAATTTGGCAGCCCTGCTCTAGAAGCAAGCCTCAGTTAGCAACTGTGCTATTTAGAGAGCACAGAATAACAGTGTTGGAAGGGACCTTGGAGGTTTTCTAGTCCAACCCCCTGCTCAAGCAGAAGACTCTATACCAGTGGTGGGATTCTACAGGTTCGCACCGGTTCGGTAGAACTGGTTGTTAAGTAGTTAAGCAATTTGGAGAACCGCTTGTTAGAAGAAATCTCCTTTTGTTTTTTTCCACTTTACAGGGTTAATCCTGTAAGGAATTACAACTTTCTGGTGTTGTTTCCTAGCCTAATCTTTATTGCCCTGCTTACAGAAACTGCCTCTCCATTAACCCTTATTACATTATTGGCAGTAACATCTAGACTTACTGTCGCTTCCGGTTCCGGAGCTTCTCGGGAGTGTTTTTTTGTTTTTTGTTTTTGCTTGACTTTCTTAAAGGGGAAGGGTTCTTTAAAGCTTTTTACACCACTGTTGGAAGGAAATACTCCCCTGTTGGAGTTCTTTCAGCCAGGGTGCAATGATCAGCGCTTTGAAGAAATAATTGAATAACGAAGCAGAAGCTTTTAATGACAAGGAACCAAGATGAGTGACATTCAGCAAGGCTTATTGGCTAGCTAGAAAGATTGACATCCAAACATGAGTTTACATACCCTTTCTGATTGTTTTTTGGTGAAGTTTAATTCTGTGCTTGGTGATGTTTAATCCTATGTTTAGTGATGGGATAATTTTCCCTATTCAGCTTTGTTTGGAAGGAAAAATGTTAATCTCAGTTCCTGAAAAGAAGCAGCTTCGGAAATCTGACTAGTTCCTGTTTCTATTTGTTCTGGTAATTGGTTTAACAAGCAACAAATACTCTGTTTGCTCGTTTGCTTCATTCTGAAGAGCTTAAATGACCTCTCTGCTAAAGGGTTTCACTTTATGAACAAGAGTTGGCTGCTGATAGTTATCATTGCATTTTAACTATTTTATTTATTTATTTATTTATTTATTTATTTATTTATTTATTTATTTATTTATTTATTTATTTATTTATTTATTTATTTTTTATTTGCCTATATCTATGCCCCACTCTCCGAGGACTCTGGGCGGCTTTACACCAAAGACAGTATACTAAATAGCATATTGCTCCCTAACAATCTGGGTCCTCATTTTACCTACCTCGGAAGGATGGAAGGCTGAGTCAACCTTGAGCTGGTGAGATTTGATCCGCTGATCTGCTGAACTAGCAGTCAGCTGAAGTAGCTGCAGTACTGCACTCTAACCACTGCACCACCTCAAATCATTAATTAATTAATTTTAATTCCTCAAGGTGCTCTGCCACCTTGCCTGATTTGTAACTCCAGTCTGCAGGTATTTTTAATCTAATGATTGGTATTTAGGGCAGCTTTTTGCAAGCAAAGAAGCTTTTTGTATTTTTGTACAAGTAATCCTTAACTTACAACAGTTACAATGGCACTGAAAAAAGTGACATATGACCGTTTTTCACACTTACAACCATTGAAGCAAACTGTCATTAGGGCAAAGAAGCAATGCCCCATGACCACTTGGCCACGCCCACCCGGTCACATGAAGCACCGCAGTTGTGAAATGAGTGACACGTTTGTTAAGAATGCTGCAACCGGCATAAATGTTGAGCGGTCATAAATGCGAGGACTGATCAAAAGTACCAGGACCTGTCAGAAATCACTTTTTTCAGCCCTCTGGGTAGTCCCTATGTGCATATGGACTACTCAGAGGACTGAAAAAGTTATTTTTGATCAGTCCTCACACTTTTGACAGGTCCTCGCACTTGCGACTGTCCTCACATTTTACGTTTTGCGCCCTATCTTGTCACCGTGGTGAAGAGAACCAGTTGTGAAATGAGTGACACGGTTGTTAAGAATGCTGCAACGGGCATAAATGTGAGGATGGTCATAAGTGTGAGGACCGGTCAAAAGTGCGAGGACTGGTCAGAAATGACTTTTTTCAGTCCTCTGAGTAGTCGCTATGCACATAGCCACGGCCACCCAATCACATGACCAGCTAGCCACACCCACCCAGTCACATGATGACCAAGCCACGCCCCCAAATAAGCCACGCCCACAGAACAGGTTGTTAAAAAAATTGAATCCCATCACTGCTCTATACCATTCTAACATATGGATGCCCAACTCCAATCCCTTCATAGAAACCTCCAGAGCACTCACAACTTTTGAAAGCAAGCTGTTCCACTGATTAATTGTTCTCACTGTCAGGAAATTTTTCCCTAGTTCTCGGTTGGTTCTGTCTTTGATAACTTTCCATGTGTTACTTCGTGCCTTGTATTGAAACTGATGACAGTGCTGAAAAGGTGTTTTTATGACCTTACATTTACGACTGCCGTAGCATCTTCATAGTCACGTGGTTGAGATTTCCCTCACCCAAAATTGTGAAGGGACTGCAAGAGGGCTGAAGCTTTATTTAAGCTTTTAAAGCCCATGACATAATAGCAGCAATCCTGTGTGGTCAGATTGAAGAACTGCTGTAGAAGTGAAGGCAGTTTTTGCAAAAGGCCTACTGATGCTATAAATAGGTTAAACTTTGAAACGTTTCAACCAATGTGGAAGGCGTTCCTTTCCCATCTCATACATTTTTGTGAAAGTTAGCATAGTCCCTTTCTATTCCTTTCCTGAAAATTGTCCTAGCAATGTAGGTGTTTGAATCACTAGGCTTTTTGAGGATCTGCACAACCCTATCATAGAAGTCCCATGAAATATATTCGTATCCCACTAATTCCTGCTAGGTTGTGTGTGTAGGCCAGTGTTTCAAACCTTGGCAACTCTAAAATGTGTGGATTGAACTCCCAGGTAGCCTGCAGAATTCCGGAAGTTGAAGTTCACACATCTTAATCTACATCAGGGTTGAGAAACCCTAGTGCAGATTATGAAGTTTGGTGCTTATGGTTTCCCAAGAACATTCAGCATGAATGTCACACTCATCAGAAGGGCTGATTGAAATTAAAGTCATGACTTTGGAAGCTTCTTCCCATTATTGAGAGGAGGAGGCTTGTAACAAGCAACAATGTAAGAGGCAACAAGAAAAAACTATTTTTATGTGATCCAGTTGGGCTGCCTTTTTCTTACAGATTGTAGGAGTTTGGTAAAACCACTGATTTTAGTCAATTGCCGAATGCAGCGATTTTGTCATTTGTCCAGGAGATGGCTAAAGCAAAGCATCGTTTCCAACATTTTCTGTTATTCATTCTTGCAAACAAGCAAGCAAGGCTTTGAACACTTTAAATGGTTTTCATTTATGAGGAGGGAGAGAGAGGGAGGGAGGGAGGGAGAGGGAGGGGAGAGGGAGGGAGGGAGAGAGGGAGGGGGAGAGAGGGGAGAGGAAGGGAGGGAGGGAGGGAGAGGGGGAGGGAGGGAGAGGGGGAGGGAGAGAGAGGGAGAGAGGAAGGGAGGGAGGGAGGGAGGGAGAGGGGGAGGGAGAGAGAGGGAGAGAGGAAGGGAGGGAGGGAGAGGGGGAGGGAGGAAGAGAGAGAAGGAGGGAGGGAGGAAGGGAGAGAGAGAGAGAGAGAGGGAGAGAGAGAGAGAGGAGGCTGGGTGGGTTAGACAAGGAGGAAGGAGAATACTTGATTGGAAGCCTTTTTTTTCAAATATTAATATCTCTCCTTTCCCGATGAATAGGAAGGTATAACCCAGATAGGAGGCTGCTAAAATTTCAGGCGCCACAGAGGCCTCGCCTGGTGCCCTACCCGATGGATATTTTACTCTTACCTCGGCAACTGTAGCTCGGACGAGACGCTCTAACCTGCTGCAACAAACGTTCCAGGGCTTCAATCTGTCCCCGGTGCTTAGGCTCTCTGCCATCGTAGTCTTTCCAGTCTGGTGAACAAAAGAAACAAAGAGAATGAAAGTCGAACAAAGGGAAGACCGGTGGCCCTGATCCTGTGTCTGCTGGCATCTGAGAGAACTTGAGCTCAGGGCCCAGTGTGCCTGATTTTAATGTCTGCCCTTGATCAGAACCTGGGTGTAAAATGCAAATAGCTACCCGAAGAGCTTGCTTTGTTATCCCTTGCTAAATTGAAAGAAATTTCCTTCTCTCTCTAAAGGAGAGGGTTTTTTTTGGAATTATATTTTGGGGGCATCCCTTTAGCATGAACTGGGGAAATCCCCCAGTTGTGAAGGAAGTGATTGAGTCACTTTAGATAAACCTCTCTTTGTCTGCCATGGTCAGAAGGCAAAAATAAGATGCCAAGGATAAAGCTCATCTGATGTACGCTACTTTCAGGGTGACTTTGGACCAACCTCTGTGTCAAGAGGGGAGCAATCCATTGCCTGTGAGTTACATGCCATCCCATCTCATTGGTGGCCTCTGAATCACCCTGAGATTATACTGTTGGAAATGCAGTGAGAAAATGACCAGTTCTAGTAGTGTAATTTCTACTTCGTTTTGATGTTTGAGGGAGTTTGTAGGAGTGGGAGAAAGAGCAGAAGTCTGTGCAAGAAACACTTCCATTCTCATACTCTTGCCCTTGTAGTCCAACCTCAGATAGATGTAATGTAGACCCATTTTTTTTTCACCCTTCCCTTTTTGATGACATCACTATGTTGCTGCTGGGCCTTTTCTGGCCAATCAACAGTTCAGGAGGCCAAGTGGCAGCTCCTAATTTAGAAGAATTTATCCGAATCGTAGCCAGAATGATTTCTCAAGATGGTTTAAAAGATGAATTGGCCGAAGGGAATGTTAAGTATCGAACTCCCAGTGAAAAAGTAACATAGTTAATTTAATTAAGAAACATACCAAATACTAAAAAGGACGATCTTTTATATGCTTGTCACTCAGATAATATTTATGGAGAATTTGGGAAACGACCTATAAATACCATGTGAGTGGGGGACTGCAATCTGCTGTTGAAATTATAAGTGGTCCAGTCATCTGGATTCCCTCAAAATGCTCCTCTTCAGAACAAGGTATGCACAGGCATATGCCTTCCTTTTTATTGCCTTTGGTTTTGTTTTGCTTTGCAGATACTGAAATTTTTACAAGATTCTCCACAGGCAAAAAGATTACAACTCGCTGCAGGCCCCAGATGATAATTAACATTTTTTTTTAGCAATAGAGTATTTTTAAATTAAGATATGCACATTGTTTTTAGTTATAATGCTATTGCACATTTAATAGAGCACCATGTTGTAAACATAATTTTTATATGCACTGGGAAACCAAACAATTCGTATGACTCATATTATATGATATTTGCTGTAGGATTGCCTTGCAGCGAGATGGGAGGCAAACAAATTTAATTGTAATAATAGATAAACAAATAAAAAAATTGTGGTGGTCTGGAATCATACCCACTATATCTCTGATGCCTATTCTTGAGCTCTGAGTGACCTCATGAGCATCATCAGGTTGACTCAGCCTTCCATCTTTCCGAGGTGGGTAAAATGAGGACCCAAATTGTTGGGGGCAATATGCTGACTCTGTAAACCCCTTAGAGAGGGCTTTAAAGCACTGTAAAGCGGTATATAAGTCTAAGTGTTATTGCTATCATATATCACACTAGACCAGAATCTCCCAAAGTGGTCAACATTGACCTCCAAGGTTATTGGGACTATCCAAAGGGTCAATATTGTTGTTATTCATAGTATTATTAGTTAAAGCAGTATTAATTTAATTGTTAATCACATAAGAAATGTTTGGGGGTCGATGAATAATCTGAAACTTCATGAAAGGATTGTTGAGCTGAAAAGTTTGGGGATCTCTGAAGTAGACCAAACTAAAATTGATTTTATTAAATCGAAAATGAATTTGACTTGATATATTTATTCTCCACTCCTTTAATATTTCAGACCTTTTGCCACATTAAAAATTAAATATTGTTGTCAACTTTTCCAAGGGCTGGGAAGGTTGCAAGTGATCCTTGGCCTTAAATTGAACATCCTTGTTCAATTTGGCTCTATAAATTGAGCCAACCCAACACCAATTCCCCATTGCTAGCATCCATTAAAATGCCTAAGGAATTTTGAAATTCGCAGTACTAATGGATCTGGAAAGCAGCAAGTTGGGAAGCATGTGTTAGGCAACAGATCATCCAATATAAATGAGGCTATATCCATTGTTCCAGAATCACATTATTGATTCCACAGATTAATCTTGCTTTCTCTTTTTCTTCTCCATATGAAGCCTCCTCCTAAATTTGCCAATTCCCAAATACTAAAAACTGTAGCAGAGGTCCTGTTAGCTTGATGTGTAAACTCAGTCTGTACTTTTGAATTACCATCAAAACTACTAACCAAGTAGAGGGATAGAGGAGGAGAGGGAGAGAGAGGAATAGAAGAAAGGGGAAGGAGAGGAAGAAAGGATAGGGGACAAGAGTAGGAGACAAGGTGAGAAAGGGGGAAAAGTGGGGAGGAGTGGGAGAGAGGAAAGGGAAGTAGGGGAGAAGAGGAGAGGAGGAGGAAGAAAGTAGAAGAGGAGAGGAGGGAGGGGAAAAAAGGAGGAGAAGAAGGTTTGTTGTGAAAAGAGAGAAAAGAGAGGGTAGAAGAGCAACCCCAATGTAATTAAAATGTCTTAGTTTTATGCTTTCATTAGAAAAAAATATGTATATATATATATGATCAATTATGGATAAGAGAATGTACATTTACAATATGTGTATAATAAATAAAAATAAAAAAACTTTTTTCAAAAAAAAACCCACTACTAACCAAGATGACATAAATTTCAGTTGGGCATTCAATGTAAAACATATCTGGCTTCAAACTGCATCTTTGTTGTAAGCATGCAGTAATGAATTTGGCCATTTTGAACTCGAAGGTAGGAATCCAAAAACTTGCCTGAGTCACATCACCAATTTTCAATTTATTTTATTTATTTATTCAATTTATATGGCCACTCTTCTCAACTTGGTGATGCTGGGCACGTAACAACAACCAAGGGAAAAGCAAATTTGCTACAGGTCAGTACTCTCATGGAGTCCCACTAACATTCCAACCCCTATGCTTGGCAACACATCTAGGGCTTCAAAGCTTTGAAAAAAGCTGCCAGCTTTGGAGCCAATCCAAAGGGTTGGGGGAATAGGGAATGGGCAGAAGCTGCAAAGGACACTTTTTAGGTCCAGAAAATGACAGTCCTTAAACTGATGGGAGCCACAGTACGACTCTCTTGACAGACTGAACAGAGCAGGATAAAGACGATTGTGGAGAGGGTGTCCCACAAATAACCCAGCCCCATGCCTGCAAGGACTTTATAAGTGACAACTCGCAACTTGAATTGCGTCCGGAAGCATACTAACAGCAAATGCAACTTGTAGCGCAGCGGTGCAACATAAGTGCTTGGAAATTTATTTATTTATTTATTTATTGGTTCGATTTATATGCCACCCTTCTCCAGAGACTCAGGGCGGCTTACAATGCGTTAAGCAATAGCCTTCATACTTTTGTATATACCTGCTTAGTAGGGCTTTCGCCCCCCCCTTTAAGCGGTGTTCTTTTTTATACAAAGTCAGCTTATTGCCCCCACAATCCGGGTCCTCATTTTACCTACCTCGAAAGGATGGAAGGCTGAGTCAACCTTGAGCCTGGTGAGATTTGAACTTGCAGTAATTGCAGGCAGCTGGTGTTACTTAACAGTACTTTAGTCTGCTGCGCCACCAAGGCTCTTGCTGCGCCACCAAGGCTCAATGTAGTCCTAACTGCCTGCATTCCCACATTCTGAACCAGATATAGCTTGAGGCGTTATTCAAAGGAACCTCTACATATAGTGCATTGCAATAATCCATTACAGAGGTAATCAAGGCATGAGTTGTGATCAGCAGTGCCCTTCAGTCCAGGAAAGGGCACAATTGATGAACTAAACAAAGTTATGCAAAACCCCACCAATCCACAATTGCCAAATGCTACTAGAACAGGAGCCATGAATTTAGGAGGATCCCCAAATTATTTACTGATTCTGTTGGGGTAGTGAAACTTCATCCAGAAGAAGAGATGGAAAATCCCCAGACACAAGTGACAACTTTACAGAACCCTGTCTACTGTATCAGGACTTAACAGGATCAAATGCATCCCAGATAACAACATTATACTAAAGTGTTAGTCATCACTGTGTGACTTGTCTCAAGGCTGCCTTGGAGGTAATCAGAGTGACTTTATCTGACAGATGCTTAGAATATTCATCACGGTGACCCTACAGTGAACTTCTAGCTTCATCTTCTTCAGAAGGGCATGGATCATCCCAAACAGGGCTGCTGGATGGGTGTCTGTGGACATATTAAGGGCAGAAAAAAACATTGCTGTTTTGCTGCCCTTACCACTATAACATAGGCCTTAATAGAGAGTCTAGAGATCATACTTTTTTTTTTTTAATTTGATTTATATGCCGCCCTTCTCCGGAGACTCAGGGTGGCTTACAATGCGCTAAGTAATAGCCTTCATCCTTTTGTATATTTATACAAAGTCAGCTTATTGCCCCCACAAACTGGGTCCTCAATTTACCTACCTTAGAAAGGATGGAAGGCTGAGTCAACCTTGAGCCTTGGCGAGATTCGAACCTGCAGTAATTGCAGGCAGCTGGTCTTAATAACCAGCTTAATAACAGGGTGCCTTAGACCACTGTACTACCAAGACTCTTGATCGAGACCTCTCTGTCCTACAGTGTTTTTTGTCCTGTTTCATCTCCCTCAGCTCCTCTATGAACTAGGGAGAGCCTCAAGATCTATGAGAAGGGAAATGCTGCATAAACTTGAACTGCTCCAAAGCTCTACCTGCCTTGCATTCCAGGTGGCACCAAGGCTTCAATTGGATTATGTAACAGACCTTCAGGAACAAACCCAAGCTCTCCCTGGAACCCAATAGGTCCTTCAAGTGTCTTGGGTAGACTG